ACCATTAGCCAGACTCATCAAAAAAAAAAAGAGAAGACTCAAATCAACAGAATTAGAAATGAAAAAGGAGAAGTAACACTGACACTGCAGAAATACAAAGGATCATGAGAGATTACTACAAGCAACTATATGCCAATAAAATGGACAACCTGGAAGAAATGGACAAATTCTTAGAAAAGCACAACCTTCCGAGACTGAACCAGGAAGAAATAGAAAATATGAACAGACCAATCACAAGTGCTAAAATTGAAACTGTGATTAAAAATTTTCCAACAAACAAAAGTCCAGGACCAGATGGCTTCACAGGTGAATTCTATCAAACATTTAGAGAAGAGCTAACACCTATCCTTCTCAAACTCTTCCAAAATAAGCAGAGGGAGGAACACTCCCAAACTCATTCTATGAGGCCACCATCACTGTGATACCAAACCAGACAAAGATATCACAAAAAAAGAAAACTACAGGCCAATATCTCTGATGAACATAGATGTAAAAATCCTCAACAAAATACTAGCAAACAGAATCCAACAGCACATTAAAAGGATCATACACCATGATCAAGTGGGGTTTATCCCAGGAATGCAAGGATTCTTCAATATACGCAAATCAATCAATGTGATACACCACATTAACAAACTGAAGGAGAAAAACCATATGATCATCTCAATAGATGCAGAAAAAGCTTTCAACAAAATTCAACACCCATTTATTATTAAAACTGTCCAGAAAGTAGGCATAGAGGGAAGTTACCTCAACATAATAAAGGCCATATATGACAAACCCACAGCCAACATCATTCTCAAAGGTGAAAAACTGAAACCATTTCCACTAAGATCAGGAACAAGACAAGGTTGCCCACTCTCACCGCTATTATTCAACACAGTTTTAGCCACAGCAAATAGAGAAGAAAAAGAAATAAGGAATCCAAATTGGAAAAGAAGAAGTAAAACTGCAACTGTTTGCAGATGACATGATACTATACATAGAGAATCCTAAAGATGCTGCCAGAAAACTACTAGAGCTAATCAATGAATTTGGTAAAGCAGCAGGATACAAAATTCATGCACAGAAGTCTCTTGCATCCCTATACACTAATGATGAAAAATCTGAAAGAGAAATTAAGGAAACACTCCCATTTACCATTGCAACAAAGAGAATAAAATACCTAGAAATAAACGTACCTAAGGAGACAAAAGACCTGTATGCAGAAAACTATAAGACACTGATGAAAGAAATTAAAGACAATACAAAGAGATTAAGAGATAAACCATGTTCTTGGATTGGAAGAATCAACATTGTGAAAATGCCTATACTACACAAAGCAATTTATAGATTCAATGTAATCCCTATCAAACTACTAATGGCATTTTTCACAGAACTAGAACAAAAAATTTTACAATTTGTATGGAAACACAAAAGACCCCAAATAGCCAAAGCAATCTTGAGAAAGAAAAACAGAGCTGGAGGAATCAGGCTCCCTGACTTCAGACTATACTACAAAGACAAAGTAATCAAGACACTATGGTACTGGCATAAAAACAGAAATATACATCAGTGGAACAGGATAGAAAGCCCAGAGATAAACCCATGCACATATGGTCACCTTATCTTTGATAAAGGTTGCAAGAATATACAATGGAGAAAAGACAGCCTCTTCAATAAGTGGTGCTGGGAAAACTGGAGAGCTACATGTAAAAGAATGAAATTAGAACACTCCCTAACACCATACACAAAAATAAACTCAAAATGGATTAAAGACCTAAGTGTAAAGCCAGACACTATAAAATTCTTAGAGGAAAACATAGGCAGACACACTCTATGACATAAATCACAGCAAGATCCTTTTGACCCACCTCCTAGAGAAATGGAAATAGAAACCAAAATAAACTAATGGGACCCAATGAAACTTAAAAGCTTTTGCACAGCAAAGGAAACCATAAACAAGACGAAAAGACAACCCTCAGAATGGGAGAAAATATTTGCAAATGAAGCAACTGACAAAGGATTAATCTCCAAAATATACAAGCAGCTCTTGCAGCTCAATATCAAAAAAAGCAAACAACCCAATCCAAAAATGGGCAGAAGACCTAAACAGACATTTCTCCAAAGAAGATACACAGATTGCCAACAAACACACGAAAGGATGTTCAACATCACTAGTCATTAGAGAAATGCAAATCAAAACCACAATGAGGTATCACCTCACACCGCTCAGAATGGCCATCATCAAAAAATCTACAAACAGTAAGTGCTGGAGAGGGTGTGGAGAAAAGGGAACCCTCTTGCACTGTTGGTGGGAATGTAAATTGATTCAGCCATTATGGGGAACACTATGGAGGTTCCTTAAAAAACTAAAAATAGAACAACCATATGACCCAGCAATCCCACTACTGGGCATATGCCCTGAGAAAACCACAATTCAAAAAGAGTCATGTAGGGGCTTCCCTGGTGGCGCAGTGGTTGAGAGTCCGCCTGCCGATGCAGGGGAACGTGGGTCCGTGCCCCGGAGGATCCCACGTGCCACGGAGCGTCTGGCCCTGTGGGCCATGGCCGCTGGGCCTGCGCGTCCGGAGCCTGTGCTCCGCAACGGGGGAGGCCACAGCGGTGAGAGGCCCGCATACCGCAAAAAAAAAAAAAAAAAAAAGAGTCATGTACCACAATGTTCATTGCAGCACTATTTACAATAGCCAGGACATGGAAGCAACCTATGTGTCCATCAACAGATGAATCAATAAAGAAGACGTGGTACATATATACAATGGAATATTACTCAGCCATAAAAAGAAATGAAATTGAGTTATTTGTAGTGAGGTAGATGGACCTAGAGACTGTCATACAGAGTGAAGTAAGTCAGAGAGAAAAACAAATACCGTATGCTAACACATATATATGGAATCTAACAAAAAAAAAAGGTTCTAAAGAACCTAGGGGCAGGACAGGAATAAAGATGCAGACATAGAGAATGGACTTGAGGACACAGGGAGGGGGAAGGGTAAGCTGGGACAAAGTGAGAGAGTGGCATGGACATATATACACTACCAAATGTAAAATAGATAGCTAGTGGGAAGCAGCTGCATAGCACAGGGAGATCAGCTCCATGCTTTGTGACCGCCTGGAGGGGTGGGATAGGGAGGGTGGGAGGGAGACACAAGAGGGAGGAGATATGGGGATATATGTATATGTATAGCTGATTCAGTTTGTTCTACAGCAGAAACTAGCACAACATTGTAAAGCAATTATACTCCAATAAAAATGTTTAAAAAAATAGTATACCCATTACATGTTAACATAACTAATAAATTGTTGTGAAAAATTACTGTACTTTCCCAAGCAAAACATTATGGGGAAGAACAGCATTATTTAGCATTTTTGCAAATGTCTAACATCTGGTTTAATAGAAGACAGCTGGATTCCCATATCTGCTTCTGCTTTGTTTTTTTGTGATTCACTGTTTTTTTTAATAAATTTATTTAGTTTATTTATTAATTTTTGGCTTTGTCAGGTCTTCGTTGCTGCATGTGGGCTTTCTCTAGTTGCAGCGAGCAGGGGCTACTCTTTGTTGTGGTGCACGGGCTTCTTATTGCAGTGGCTTCTCTTGTGGCAGAGCACAAGCTCTCGGCACGTGGGCTTCAGTAGTTGTGGTACATGGGCTTCAGTAGTTGTGGCACGAGGGCTCAGGAGTTGTGGCATCTTCCCGGTCCAAGGCTTGAACCCGTGTCCCCTGAATTGGCAGGCGGATTCTTAACCACTGAGCCACCAGGGAAGCCCGATTCATTGTTTTAGTTTAAGTATATAAAGAAAATCTGGCCTCACACAGATATGAGGCTGGAAAAGGAAGCATTTTAATAGTCACTTCTGATAATATGGATATTCTTTTTTTTTTTTTTTGCGGTACGCGGGCCTCTCACTGTTGTGGCCTCTCCCGTTGTGGAGCACAGGCTCCGGACGCACAGGCTCAGCGGCCATGGCTCACGGGCCTAGCCGCTCCGCGGCATGTGGAATCTTCCCGGACCGGGGCACGAACCCGTGGCCCATGTATCGGCAGGGGGACTCTCAACCACTGCGCCACCAGGGAAGCCCGCAGATATTCTTTTTTGATATGACACCGCAGCTTAACAAATGGTAGTTTCTTAAAGACTAGTTGCAATGAGAAGTCTGAAACCCTACCTTTTGTACTGTTGACACCAAAATTTATTGGTTTATCTTGCAGTTTGAATTGATCTTTTACCCATGCATGATTTTGTAACACCACGTATTGGTCAACTGGAAAATACTAGCTCATTAAGTTATACAACTGTTCCGAATGTGCAGTGGAAAACTCCACTGGATACTCCAGAGCAATTAAGAGTAAAAATGACAAATAATATCTTTATATCACTGTAAAGATAGCTTTGGCCTTTGGTACTCCCTAAAGGGTGGGTGGCAGTCCCCACACCTACCGTGAGAACCACTGTCCTACGCTGGCTGCAGCTGACAGCTTCTGCACACATAAAGGACCTTCAGAGTACCATTTTACGGCAAAATAACTCAATTGGATGAATCTTAAGTTAAACATAAAACGTATTTCAAGACTGTGAACACGCTTCACGAATAAAGAAAAGCCTGAAGAAAATAAAAGTCACTTTATACTTTTGTCTTCTAGAAATAAATGTGTTAATATTTTGGCCCACTGTCACCTCTCCTTAAGGGCAGAGACTGTGTTTTATTGATCTACAAATTTCGGAGTTAGCATAATGCCTGGCCCTTATGAGCACTCAAAAAGAATTTTTCTTTATTAAAGGTATACCGTACATAGTTTTGTAGCCTATCCTTTTCATTTAGCCTCAGAGTTGGTCAGTTTTCCCATATGCGTTCTATAACTACTGCATAACATTAAAAACCGTGACTTTGCTTTGGCAAGGAGTAAAAATTTTGCAAGGGAAAAAAATTTAAACGACATGGGTCCAGCAGGACTCCAAGGAAGAAGTTTGGGGAGCAGGGTCGCTCCGCCACAGACTCACCGCGCCTGGGACACCTGGACACAGGCCACCGCGGCGGGGAGGGGTGAGGGTCCAGGGACCATGGCACTTGGCGCTTTTTCGGGGGCTTTCGCGCGGGACCGACATGCGAAAAAAGGGGGGGGCAGCTGGACGGCCCCACTCCCCACGACAGGGAGGGTCTTCCAGCTCCGGCTCCCCTTTCCTCGGAGGAGCTGCCTCTCCTGCACTTGTCTGGGCACCGGAACTCGAGACAGTTCTGTCAACAGTCAGCCGGAGAGCCAGCTCCAGGAACGGCCCAGAAAGACTGAGCATGCGTGGAACGCACCCGGCGTGCAATCCTGGGAGAGGTTAGAGGTCGCGAGGTACATCACCGCGCCGGCATTCCAGATGAATTAGCTGCTTTGGTGGCTCCACAGGGCGAGTGGCGGCACTAAAGCACTAGTGTGCGGCTCCCAGGAGTTACACCCGCTCCTCCCACGCCATCCCACTCCTTTTCTAAGGCTCCCGCGGCCGTCGGAAAAACCCGGAAAGGCGGACCACTTTCGCTTCGCACCCACTTCCCTTCCCCGGCCGGAAGGGAAAGGGGGCAGAGAAGCATCGCATGCGCCCTTCGCAGGCGGCCCCTGGAGTGGAGTCGAGTTGCTGGTTTCGTCGGCCCGGCCGGAGTGCGCCTGCGCGGTCTCCGGCTTCCCTCCACCTCCGCTTCCCCTCCCCCTGTCCCCCGCGGGGCCTCTGGGTCCGGCGGGACCATGTTCACCAGCACCGGTTCCAGTGGGCTTTGTGAGTACCGGACGCCGCCATCCTGGCTGTCCACTAAACACCACACTGGGTACCTCCTTGAGGAGGCTGGGGGCAGCGGGGACTCTCGGGGTTGCAGGCGGTTTGGGGGTCGATCTGCCGTCCCTGTGCCGGAACCTTGGTAGTTCTTGCCCGGTGGGGGGCAGCGGACACCGCCCCCACTTCAGCCTGGAGGGGTCAGTGGGGACTGAGTCAGCCCCCAGCCCCCCACCTGTGAGCCCCAGGTGCGATGGTCAGTTGCTCCTGGGGCTGCTGTAGGTGGGCTGGGCAGTTAGGGTCGGGCTGGGTTGCCCTGGTCTTATGGCCCGGCCCCCTGCCCTCAGCGGTAGGTTTGCCAGCTAGAAAGAAGAGGCTGTCCGGGTGGAAGCGATGCTGGAAGCCTGCTCCCTTCCCAGTCACCTTGCTCCATTCATTTAGGCTACAGAGGGACCGAACTGGCTCTCCCCCGGATGCAAATTCCAAGCTCTGCTTCAGGAGCTGACCCCTTAGTTTTACTTAGATTTTTTTTTTTCTCCTCAGTCTCTCTTAGGAGTTTTTAGACAAACAAAAACTGATTAAAGTACTTCAAAGTGGAAGGAAGTTTGGAAGTAGTTTGGCAGGAAAGCAGAGACATTGCTGCTGGATGTTGCTAAATTTTACTGGAGTGTCAGCTGTGGACTGTCAGCAGATAGAGGGAGGAGAAATATATATAGCCTTTTAAACGACTTTCTCTTTCTCATTGAAATGGTTTGACTTTTGATAAGGTGGACTGTATGTTAACTAAACAGCGCTGAGATTAGGCACTGATACAGCAACAGTGAATTGTTTGAATAGCTATAATTTTTGCAATTGCTTGTCACTATTAACGCATCATATCTCTATACATGTGAAGTTAATCTTACTGAGTACAGAGGCAGTTGACATTTCCAAATATTAATGATCTATTGTGAATGTTAGGAATCTTTTTCTGAGAATACATATCTTAGCCTGGGAGTAAGTTAGTATCAGGGCAACAGGCATAATTATAAATCTTCCTCACTTCTCAACTTCTCAGGTTCTGAAGTGGGTTTAATATTTGTGATTTCCCTTGTTTCATACTTAATTTGATTTATGGCACCTTTCAGGTATTGGCCTCAGAGTATGTTACAACTACTAGGTAATTAATCTTCCCCAAACTACCCTTTAGAAAAAGAACATGACTGTTGAAACTGATACTCAAAAGGTGGTGTGATTTTCCTGGGATCTGTGAGCCATACACTGGTGGATATGAAATTAATGGTAGAATTCTTCAATTTTATTTGTTCTTTTTCATCATTTTGACTTATCCTTCCTTGCTGACCAAAACACATTAAAGAATTAAAAAGGCAAGCAAAATCTGTTATTGGTTACTATGCTGTATTAGCTATTATGTTGGCAAAGTGTATTCAGATTTGATACAGGGTGACTCTGGGGAAGGTAGTAATATGTGATTACCTGTGGCACATGGTTGATGAGTATTGAATTCTAGGAGCCAAACTGCTACCCAGAGAGAGGCCTAGGCCAAAGGCTCCTCCTTAGCTGTCTTGCCCTTTTTCTAAAATAAATGTATCCACAGCATAAGAATTGATGGAATGGCCATTCCTCAGAAGTCCATGTCTTATATGCTCATTTAACAAACATTTTGAGCATCTCGGAAACTGCGAGGGGCTGGGAATGCAACATTAGACAAGTCTTGGTCCCAGCGTTTGCAGAGCTTACAGTGGTGTTTAGGCACTGGTTTTCCAAGACTGGTCTTTCGGCAAGTCTGGGTGGGAAAATTTACTTTGCTTTGAAATTTTTCTTTGCGATGCGCCCCACTAAGAGGGAAGTGATTTCCTTTAGCTAAGTTGTGTAGCCCTTTGGTAATTCAGAGTTCTGATCCTGAGTAAGTGTCCCGAGGATGAATAATCTGCCTAGCAGTGCCCCCAGGGATGCTGAATAACGTTCTCTTTTTAAGGGAAAAATCCTGACCATTTCCTACCACTGGCGTATTTCCCACATCTGTGACTAGTAGATAGTGTATTTGTGTTATACTTGCTTTCCTCCCTCTCTCACTCATTCATTTATTTATTCAACAAGTGTCTGTTTACTACCCACATAAGCCACACACTGTTCGTGTATAGAGGATAAAGTGGTACACAGGATGAAGGAGACCAACATCCAATAAGTAAGTTATGTGTTTTCACATAGTGATAAGCGTCGTGAAGAAAATCTGAGGGTAGTGGCATAGACTGCGGTTATGGAGGACTTTAGCAGGAAGCTAAAAGAATGCTAAGGATGCTGCTTTAGCAGGTGTGGTCAGCGAAGATGTTTGGGAAGGTGACCCAAATGGCGTGAAGGAACTCACCTGTCAGTTTTTGTTGAAAAGTGTACATCTTGCAGAAAGAGAGCAGCAAGCACAAAGACTCTCAAACAGGCACAGCAGGGCGTTTTCAAGGTATTGAAGAAAGCTGGTGCTGCCAGGGCTGTAAGTCAAGAGAAGGGCATTTGCGACCATGTCTACGAAACTGTATAGCTGTCTGCCCTGTCAGGTAATTATGACTGGATGAAAGTGCATAGGAATCGTGTTCATCATGCCTTATTTTAGACCCTTGCTTAGAGACGAATGCTACCTCTCAATTACGTGTTGAATAACAGATGTATCATTTCTTACACTTGTTAGTAAGTGTTCCCATGACTTACTCACTTCAGTGTATTCACTCTAACATGGACTCAACCAACATTAATTGTGTGTCTGTTGTATTCTAGGTATAGGTCCCACCCTCAAGGAGCTCTGTGTCTAGTGGGGAAAAACTTAAAAAAAGAAATGAAACAGCTTCTGTACTGGGTGCTGCGGGTTTATGGCCGCCGTGGGCTGGGCAGGGGAGGGGCATGGTTAAGACTTCCAGTGTGGGCGCTATCTCAGCTGATGTTGAGGGATGAGTAAGAGTTTGTCAGGCATGCAAGTGGGGAGAGAGCCTCTATGAGGGACAGAGCCTGGGCAGGGCCTGGACGAGAGGCAGGAGGTGATGAGTTAGGGGATTGTTGCTTACAGCTGAAGGGAGCAGTTTCTGCACGAGGTGTGCAGTGACGTCATTCAGAGGGCTGGTGAGTCGAGAGCTGGGGATGGAACGAGAAGAGGGAGAAGAGGAGGCGTGGCAACAGCTGCCCCTGTCCAGGAGCACAGCCAGGACCAGATGGTAGGGCAGAGTCCGGGGAGCAGAAGAAGGTGAAAATCTGATAGAATGCTAGTCGGAAAGGCTTCACGTTGCTGTGGAAGGCAAGACAGGTTATTGTTGCGGATGTGAGCAGTGTTTTCCATACACTGCCTGTGGTATGGCCACACAAAAGCAGCTATGGAGCTTTCCGAATGTCCAGATTCCTGGGTCCCATTCCCAGAGAGTCAGATTCAGAAGGGCTAATGTGGGAATCAGAAATCTTAATTTTTAAAACATCGAGGGGGAGCTTCTAATGGACAGACTTAGGTCAAGCAACAGGGTGGCCAGCAGGAGGGGCCCAGAGAACAGTTAAGAGTCCAGTGGGAGATGCTGACAGCCCCAGTGAAAGAGGTAGCGGTGCGAATGGACAGGATAGAAAAGAGGGATTCTAAAGATGTGCAGGCAGGTAGGCTGTGTCAGTCAAGCCCATTGGACTGGGGGAGAGAGAGAGGAGTTGAAGGTGACTTGGGGTAGACAGGTGGTGTTACTGTTCACAGAGGCAGGGGGCATAGAGAGGGAGGAGCTCATCTGGGGAAAGATGTTTAATGTCCAGGGGCTTGTAAAGTCCAGTGGGAGATACCCAGGGGCCATCTGGAGAGAGGGAGCTGGCCTGGACATGGGTTGTTAGGTGGGAGTTACGCTGTGGATGTGAATGAGGGTGCTGGAAGCAGCGAGTAGAGCCAGAAGGCTGAGGACAGAACTTTAAGCAACTCCAATCCAGTATGTACTGCATGGTGGAGAAAGAGCAGACAGCAAAGTAGGCAGAAGTGGGTGTTCCTTTAGGAGAGAGCTGTCTCCACCCAACCTAATTTGATTCGTCCTCTTTCCTTGTAAACAAACTCCTGCAGTTGCTTCGCACTCTTTCACGGTGACTCTGATCACCAGACTCTTGATGCCCTTGTTTCCAGTTTACAGCCCATTTCTGGCATCTTCCACATCCAGTCTGGAGACCATAGTTAATCACCCGCGTTGCATTCCCATCAAGACCCTCAGCTGTCCTGCTCTCTCACCCGGCAAAACGCCAGCCTTGTATTAATGTGTGGTGTCCAATCCAAGCTGAATCCTCGGCACGATTGCTCAGTTACATTTCTTGGATTTGGTTGTCTCCCTGTGCACTTCCCCTGTCATGGTCAAGAGTGTTCCCACTCTTAACCCAACCTAAATATAAGGGCCATCACCTGGGCACGTCCTCTCGCTAACTTGTTTGTATCCACACTTTAACAGTTGTTAGAGGAGACTTCCTAATGTAGGCGATGTTTGAGCTGATTTTTGAGGGATGAGTAAGGGTTTTCAGGCATGTGAACTTAGTTCCTGTTTTCCAGTCTAAAAGAATGAGGCCCACTCTCCACCTATTCTTAACTCATTCCTTGCTGCCTTTTCTAGTGACAGTCCCTCCTTCTCTCTTTGCCTGGCATGCATTGAAGCTGATGCTTTTTCCTGTGGCTCTTCAGAGACCCCCAGAGTACTTCAGATCCCTTATCTGTGGAAAGGAGATAATATTATTCCCTATTTTATTGGGTGGTTTGTGAAGATTTAAAGATTTACTATGTGTAAACTCCTAGAGTTTTGCCATAGTAAGTACTCAGGGTTAAGTATTTTTAACTGGATCCTTCTTTGGGGTCTGTTCTTCAAACTACAGAAGCATAACCCCTCTGTCAATTGACCGTTTCTTTGTTTCTTCTTCCCAACCAAGCTTCTTGAACGATGTC